TCCTGTTTTTATCATTTTCCAACAGTGAAGATTTTTTGTATCTTGCATGAAGGTTTTCAGTCAGAGCTTTTCATCATTTTGCTCTTTGTTTCTGACTCATTCTGAATTCCTACATGTTTTTAATCAAACAGCTGCAGCAGATGGAGGCAGTTTGTCACACAGTCTGTGGCAGAACTGTGCTGCAGTGATCCATTTTTTTTCTCCAGAGAGCAAGATTTTGAACATGGTGGCAGCACGAACCTGCTGCTGCAGGTGAACCAGTCTGAACTTTGACCTTATGTCAACCATGCAGAAAGAACTAGTCTGGGTCCAGGTAGAGTACTGAGAGGCGAAACGAGATAATAAACCAGTGTTATTTTCTGCCTGTTGATGGATGTCAGGGCGCTGCTGGTGTGTTGACATCATGTTTAAATTCAGTTTGATTCCAACAACATCAAACACAGTTAGAGGCTGAGAGAGCTTGTCCTGCAGCAGAGTTAGGATGATGGTGTTGAAGGCAGAGCTGAAATCCAAAAACAGGATCCTGGTGTAGGTTCCTAGTGAGTCCAAGTGCTGAGGAAGAAGTGAAAGGCCATGTTTACTGCAGCGTCTATAGATCTGTAGGCTCTGTTGGTGAACTGCAAGGGGTCCAGGAGTGGGTCTGTAGTGGACTTGAGGTGGGACAACACAAGGCTCTCATAAGACTTCATTGGATGTATCGGTTGTCATTTAGTCCTGTGGTCCTTGGTTTTTAGTGGACAGGGATGATGGTGGAGGCTTTAAAGCAGACTGGCACATGGCGTGTCTCCAGTGAGGTGTTAAAGATGTCCGTGAAAAATAAATATAAAAGGAAAATCATAGGTAAAACAAGAGGATCTCAGATATATGACACAAAATAGTGTAGAAGTAAAAATATAGGATTATAATATAGTACAAAATGATACATTATATACATCAATCAGCCATAACCTTATGACCAGGTGAAGTTAATACCACTGATTATCTGGCTACCATGGTACCATGTCAGTGGTTGGGATATATTAGACAGCAGGTAAACACTGTGTCCTCACAGTTGATGTGTTAGAAGCAGGAAAAATGGATAGCTGTAATGATTTCAGCAACTTTGACAAGGGCCAAACTGTGATGGCTAAGACAACTGGGTCAGAGCATTTTCAGAATGGTCAATACCATCATAAGCGGCCCAAGTAAAGCGGTGAACTGGACAAAGGATTATGTATGGCCATAGCTCACTGATGTGCGTGTGGAGTGAAGGCTGTCCCGTATGGTCCAACAGACGAGCTACTGAAGGTCAAAATACTGAAAAAGTTGATGCTGGTTCTGATTGAAAGGTGTCAGAACACACAGAGCATACACAGTGGAGGCGGCAAAAGGCAGACCTACTTTATTACCAGTTATTGTTATTGCTTGCTATATATTTAAAAAAATAGTGTGGTAGGCATGTGTACGTGTAAGTTAAAAATAAGTTTATTTATTTTTTGGGTCATGTTTCTTTTTCTGCTCTGTAAAGCGCTATACAAATTCAATTCATTATTATTAATAAACTTTAATGTATCGCCAATGGACAGGATAGAACAGGATTTTAAATATGCAGGGCACTGATAAATATATACACTCCAATAGTGGAACAGCTTGTAAACAGGGGTATAAATATATTTATATGTATATTTATACTGTGATGTACAAACGGTAATAATGACAGGAGAAAGCAGCATTATTGTCTCAGTATGGAGTCAGGCCACCACGAGCTTTCAGAACAGCTTCAGATCTTTTTAGACTCAGAAAATCTGTTTCTTTCACTCTTTTCTCTTCTATCTCAAAGTGTTAGTTTCGGGACACAGCCTTTGTATGTTTTTTTTTTAAGCTTTAAGCTAAATAAAACTTGGTAGATCATTTGATCTATTGAAAGGTTGATGATTCTTTGACCCAGATCCTTTTAGTTTAGTAACTAATCTTTGTCCCTCAAGAGAGGGAGTAGCAGCACAGGTGTGAAGGGAAGGAGGATGAGGCAGAAGAGAAACCTAGTGTGAGGGGTAAGCCCTCTTCTGTCTTGTGATTCTCTATCCGATAATTATATTCTCTAGGACTTGTGAGACCTTGTAACACACAGTGATGTAAATATTGCCTTGTGGTTAAAGACACTACCGGAGGCATTCACTCATTCAGAAGTTGATCCTGTTCCAGTTGGCAAACTGTCTGAGCCAATGATGGATAGCAAGTGAGAGATAAGGTGGGAAGTTGAGGTGGCGAGGTGGACTCTGGAGTTCCCCTGGTAAGGCAGGCTGATTGCTGGAACCTGATGACAGGGATTGATGACATGTAAGTCTGATGAGAGATGGAGTGCCCTTAAACCCTGTGTTGGCTGCTTGATGGAGCCGCTCACGCTCGGCTCTCTGATTGGGTCTTGCAAAGCAGAAACACGATGCTGCTGACCGGGTTTTTGACATCATATTTTTATTAAAATATTCTGTATCGTGCAAATAACACTCATCTGCCTACACTTGTACTGTGCATGACATCATATACTTTGCAACACCTCCCAGTCTGTTTTCTACCGCCACACTCCCATGTTACATTCAGTAACAGTCCCAGCTCGTTATTGATCCATGCAACAAAAAAAAACTGGTCTGATGCTCAGTCTGTATTTATTTATTCTTTCGCCAAATCTTCTATAACTACGGAATAGACCATCTGCTTCATGTTTACACTGGCACGCGCATATCCAGTGAACCTGAACGGATCCTAGCTGTGTGTTTTCAGTTGTTTTAATGTAGACGAAGATCAACTCCAAAACGCAGCGGAAACACTGGTGTGGACAGAGATCGTATTCGTTTTAATTCTCCGTTTGTAAACTAAAACGGAGTAGTGTGGATAAGGCCTTAGTTTCTGGAGCTGCATGGCAGGGGTGTTGATGACCCTATGTTGTGTGTCCTCTATGATGTATAGTGCTGTTGCTGAAAACCTTTAAACCCGGCCTGCTAGCCAGAAGCCTTCATCTTGGTTGGCTTGCCCCCAGCCTTCACCCCATCAGCTAGCAATCAGCCTGCACTCCAGTTGATCATGCTTTAGGATTGTGAGCCTGCTGGCTGGTCCTGATTTGGCAACCCCAACCCCAAAAGTCTATGAGCCTATGAACTGTTCAAGTGGCTTTCCTGAGTCCCTGCAATCTAGCCCTCGTCCTCACCACAGCTCAGTGCTGTTGGGGTCCTCCTGCCTAGCGTCCCAGTGACTTTGCAGCCCAGAGCTGTGGAATTCCTGCTGCCTGGCTCCCCAGAAACTGAGCAGCCCAGCACTTGCCAGTTCCTCAGAGATTCAGCTGTTTTGCTCCCCAGAGACCCGGCTGATCAGTGATCCATAGATGTTGTTAGCCAGTTCCACTGAGATTCAGCTGATCAACGCTCCAAAACTTTATTGTACAGCTCCCCAGAGACTCAGCTGGCCAGATGAGGGTTTCCGCCTTCATCACCTATCTCTTTTCGGTCGTCCTCCAGACCTGATTTGCCCTTCAGTCTTGCCTCCTGGTTGCCCATCTGTTCTGCCTCCAGGCTGCCTGCCTTGTCTCCAGTGTCACGACCTTGGGTTTCAGTAATGTAAATGTAAATGTAAATGCTCCGTACATCAGTGTAGTGTTTTTCTGTTATTTTGTTTATTGTCCTTTCTGTTTTACCCATTGCCTCTGTGATCTTGTTTAGGGATTTATGTTTATTAGCTTAGTTTAGTATTTTGTTAATTTGCATGTTTAAGTTAGTAAGTATCGGTCTTGTCTCTTATCTCAGTTCTTAGTCTTGCATTTTAGCTATTTGCCTCAGTTCTTAGTCCTGTGTCTTAGTTCTTAGTCATGAGCCTTAGTTCATGTTCTAGAATTACTCCTGGTCTGTGTACTTCTGGGTTTTATTATTTTGGTCTTGTCTACGTTGTGTTCTGTTTCATCCTAGTCCCTGTGTGTTTCTCTGTTTGGTTGTTGTTAGTTTCTGTCTGCTCCCCCTGTGATCACTATGCCCTGTCTGTTCTCTCCTTGTGTCTGTGTCTTAGTCCTTAGTTCTATGTCTCTATGTTAGTGTAGACCTGCTTCCTGTTTGGATTTTGCTGTTTAGTTTGGACTTTGGACTGCTACACCAAGTGTAAGCCAGTGAGTTTCTGTTGGACTGTATTAAAATATCATCAACTGAACCTCCTTTGTTCTGGTGTCTGCATTTTGGGTCCACATCTCTACCTCCTGCCACTTCACTCAGCCTTTCTGACATCCAGTTCAGCTTCATTAATGCCTCCAGGCTGTCGCCTGAGTTCTCTTGCTCCTTCCCTGTCCAGGTCACTGGCCATCCACCTTTGAGCACCTGCTCATTTCTTCAGCTCACTCCACACTTGTCCTTGAATCCATTTTTTGGAACTTACTCCACCGACCTGATTTTTCATGGACTTTCTGTGACTTTACTGACTTCCGTCGGCGGGGGTATTGGTTGGTATGTGGTTGTGATTTAGATTTTTGTAAATTCCTATTTTATTGTGTTAAGTTGGTCCTCATGGGTATTGTTTTCACCTGTATCTCGTTATCTCCATCTTTTGTTGTCTGTCTAGCCTTCCAGTGATATCTTTAGTGTTTCTCTGAGTTATTTCCCCTATGGCTGGTTTCATAGACTTCCTTTCTGAGTTTTGGACTTGGATTATTTTCCTTACTGGATTTGTTTGCCTCAGTTCTGGAGTGCTTAGCTGGTTTCTTAACCCTTACCTACCTCAGTTACCATAAGCTTGTACCCTTTGGTTTGCTTTTCATTATAATTAAGTATACTAAACCTGCTCTGCCCGGGTCCAAAACCTCCTGTACCTGATTCATTGGAGAGCAGCTAAAACTGAACCTCCAGTTCCTGTTGAGGAGGATTTTTAGCTTCATACACGACACTGCATCCCATTAAAACAGGTAGCCCCGCCCTCGCTTTCGAGCACCAATCATGAGCAGCAGGGTGGCATGCAGCGCTGACTGTGTTAAAAGGGAAGTGAAGCTGAAGGCGTCACTCTGCTGTTCAGACTGACTGACAGTCGACATCCAGACAACATGAAGGCTTCATCTGTGTCTCTGCTGCTCGGTGAGTCCAACACATCCATCCATCCATCCATCCATCCATCCATCCATCCATCACAGCTCCAACACATACTTCAGTGTCTGCACTCATACAGAGGAAAAAGAAGACGAAACTATTCCTCTTTAATAGAAGTGATAGAAAAAGCTTTTTGCTGAACGCTGCAGTCACATGGTTCATTTCTTCCACCATCAAGAAGCTTTCTGTGTTTTGATCAGTTTGTTTGACAGGGAACAGGCTCACTGATCAGCAGCTGATAACAACTTCCAATGACTTTCACTGAATTTCTGTCCTCCCTGTTAAAAAGATATTTCATAATTCATACAACATAATAAATATGCACATGATGTTACTGTCCAGCAATAAATAATGCTACGTGCCAACACATGCTAGTTAGCTACAATCCAAACTAAATAAATAAAAACAACATGCAAAGAAAGGAAAAGCCGAGGATGAAGACAGATAATTAATGAGGTTAAGGTAGAATCAAGGATATTCAGTACGTACGCCTCGTCTCATCAGGCCCTAATGTTCAACTTCACCTCCTTTATTGTCAGATGCTCAACAATTACGGTGAAGCAGTCGTCTGCAATGAAATTCTTAATTCTCAGGCTCCTCAAACAATGCTCACACTAAGTGTAGAAGGAAAATTGCAAGTAAAATGAAAGAATCTGAGACATAAAATAGTGCTGAAGTTAAAATATAGGAATAGAATATTTTCAGAAATTAAATATAATATGCAAAGATCAACCATAACATTATGACCACTGACAGGTGAAGAGAGTAACACTGATTATCTCGTTATCATAGCACCAAACCAAATGGTCAAGCGTAGCGATTTGAGTGACTTTGACAAGGGCCTAACTGTGATGGCTAGACGACTGGATCAGAGCTTCTCCAAAATGGTCTGCAGTGGTCATTACCTATCAAAAGTGGTCTAAGGAAGGTAAGGTGGTGAACCAGCGACAGGGAAATGGGTGGCCAAGGCTTATTGATGCTTGTGGGGAGTGAAGGCTGGCCGATGTGGTCCCATTCAACAGATGAGTTACTGTAGGTCAAACTGCTGAATGCTGAAACTGGTTCTGATAGAAAGCGCTGTTGAGAGCTCAACCAGCAGTCTTATGGTCTGTGAGATGAAGCTGTCCCTGACTCTATTGCTGCAGGTAGGGGTGTGGCACAAAGTTCTGGACCTTTACATAGGCATTCTGTATGGGACTTTCCCAGCATCTACGGCTATTCATAGTATCTCTATGGGCCCTCCTCACATGAGGGCCATGCATAATTAGTCCCCTTTCCCCTCGTTGGCCTTCTTCCTGCACTGCTGGGTGTAGAGGTCCTTCATGGATGAACGGGTCCCGTTCATGGATGTGCTGAGCAGTTTTCACCACCCTCTGGTGGTCGAGGACAGCTGCCTTAGACAGCTTGTAGCTGTGATCAGAGGTGTTTTTAGCACCACTGAAGTTCTTCTTTTCACACAGGAAAGCTCAGCTGAGACATTCTGATCTTATCTGGCTTTCATGTGTCACTTCCTCTCTAACTGTGACATTTCCATGGTTATTAATGTGGACACTGAGTTTCACCAAACCTGATGAAGAATCAGAAAAACAATCAAACTGCTGATTCCTGAAACACTGAATACTGGAGACACCAGTTCCAGTCAGGTTTCCCTCACACTTCTCTCTTTATTATTTCTGATCAGACTGGTTAGTGTTTACGTTTCACTCCAGGCCAACGGGCAGGAGACACAACGCCGACCAGATACAGAGTGCATCTTTAAAGAGGTGGTATGCTCATTTTCAGGTTCAAAATCTTATTTAGAGGTTGTACCAAAACCACCATCATACTGCACATTGGTGCAGCTCCTCATTTCAGCCTGTGTTGAAGGCTTCGTTTTAGCTATGGAGTGATACATCTTGTCTCTAAATTATCTTTGTTGGGAGTTTCACATGCTCAGTTCCTAGTTAAGAACTACTAGCCAATCAGAAGCAGAGAAGGGTGGGCCAATGAGAAGCCTGTAAACACCGCTTCGTTTCAGCTGTACATGTTGCCGACCGGCTTGGCAACATAGACTTGGATTGGAACTCCCTTTGGGCTTTTTCACTTGGCAAACCTATTCCATGCACAAAAAAGATGAGATATAACTAAATGAAGGAGAGAGAAAAGCCTAAAAAGTATAATACTACCTCTTTAATGAAACTCTGGGTCTGAAAAGTGAAGCCAGTGCTGAAGAGCCATAAAAGCTTCATTCTCTCCAGCAGCCAGCAGGGGCGACTCCAGCAGCTGCAGAAAGAAGTGTGATTGTATAGAAGTCTATGAGAAATGTTTCTACTTCTCAGCTGATTTATTCCCTCAGTAAACACTTTCCTGATGAGTTTATGGTCTCAGTCGCTAGTTTCAAGTCTTCTTCAACACAGCATGATGTTCATTTAGTAAATTATGGTCCCATTTAGAGGAACAGAGACCAGGAAGCAGGGGAGGCTTTAGGGCGGGGCTACCTTGTGAACTTGTTTTTTGGGTGCTGTTTCACTTCATGAAAGTTAACTGCAACATTTTAGTCCTAAAAACGTCTTGTTCAGCATTCAGTTGTACTAAAAGATTTTCCTGTAGGTAAATTTAGTTTAGAGCCTGTTTTTCGCTAGCCAAAATTAAATCACAGTTAATATGACGTTAACGTTAACTAGGGATGCACCTTGCTAGCCAAGCTAGCTAGCTCCACCCTCTCATCCCAAGATGCCAAACTCAAGGCTTCAAAATGGTAGTCCACAAACCAACGGGTGATGTCACCGTGGCTACGTCCACTTCTTTTATACAGGCTATGACTGAAACAACAATTTACAATTAGTCAAATAATTAAAATGGAGATTTAAAAAAAGATCAACCGTTCACTTGTTATTTTATTCTTGAATTCAGACCGTTCATTGAATAAATTAAAAGTTTTAATACCTCATTTCACTGGCCACTATAATGACCTCTGACCTTAAGTGACCCTGACCTTCAGTGACCTCTGACCTTCAGTGACCCTGGCCTTCAGTGACCCCTGACCTTCAGTGGCCTCTGACCTTCAGTGGCCCCTGGCCTTCAGTGACCCCTGACCTTCAGTGACCTCTGACCTTCAGTGACCTGACCTCGTGACCTCTGACCTTCAGCGACCTCTGACCTTCAGTGACTGCTGACCTTCAGTGACCCCTGTCTTCCTGTTGCAGGTGTGTCTGTGCTGCTGCTGTCTGGACTGACTGATTCTGCAGGTGAGCTGATGGAAGAGAAAACAATCACTGACTCTCTCTCTGTTGAAGATGGACAGATGGTTCTGGTCTGATGGACTAACTCTGTTTTCTTCTTCTTCAGATTCTCAGGTTATTCTGGAGATTCCTGAACTTCCTGTGGTGGCAGGAAGTGATGTCACTCTGCGCTGTAGAACCAAAGATCAGGTCGCACTTGAAGCCTTTTTCATCAGGAATGGTTCTAAACTTGGATCTGGACCTGAAGGACAGTTTACCATCAGGAACATCAGTCAGTCTGATGAAGGTCTCTACTGGTGTTATTTTGATCAGACTGCTGAATCTCCTCGGAGATGGCTGAGTGTCAGAGGTCAGGATGTAACTGTCTGTAAATAACTCTGGTCTGACAGGTCTAACTTTGAATATGGTTCTGGTCTGATGGACTAACTCTGTTTTCTTCTTCTTCAGATTCTCAGGTTATTCTGGAGATTCCTGCCCGTCCTGTGGTGGCAGGAAGTGATGTCACTCTGCGCTGTAGAACCAAAGATCAGGTCGCACTCGAAGCCTTTTCATCAGGGATGGTTCTAAACTTGGATCTGATCTTGAAGGACAGTTTACCATCAGGAACATCAATCAGTCTGTTGAAGGTCTCTACTGGTGTTATTTTGATCAGACTGAAGAATCTCCTCGGAGATGGCTGAGTGTCACAGGTCAGGACACTGACATCACTTAATAATAAAACATATGAACTAAGTGTGCTTCTCAATTCCCTTATTTGTCAAATCCTCAGTCCTCGCTTGAACCTGAGTTTCGCTCCTTGCAGACCATCCCAAAGCTCTTATTTGGGCACGAGGATTCAGGATACACAAGTCCATCCTTCGCAGAAGTCTTTTACTGACCGACACGCCCCCTTATTGGATTGAGTTGTTACTGATTTGACGCTGTAGCAGCACAAACTGATCTGATACAACATAAAATGAGTTTCATACCAATTGAAGACAGATAACAGATAAAAAGTGTATCAAAGTTTTATATTTTATTCACTGTGTAGTTAAAATCTGTGATCAATGTAGGTCTGAACAACTAAAGGAGCACAAACAACTTTCTGCATTTAGTAAAACAGATGACTCTGTTGTTTCTCCCATTAACCTTTATTATAGAGACATGTGCAGTCAGAGAAAATGTCAGAGAGATTTGGAGAGTCTGTCAGTCAGCAAGAAACACTGTTTTCATCATTTATCGTTATTTCCATTCAGTCACATGAGGCTGATCATTCCTGACTGTTTAGTCCAAATAGACGACAGTAAAACGTAGTAAACTAGTCGTACTAAACAAGTCACTAAATTGCACCAAAGTCTCTGAAGAAGTAAGAAAAGGAAAAGAAACCTGCACATGCAGCTGATCTCAGATAACATCTGATGAAAGCAGCCAGCAGGTCTGTGAGTAAAATCAGCTGATGTAATGTATGAATGAAAGCGTCATCATTTCAATTTCCCCTGAAACATTTTGCCTAATAAATCAAAGGACAACATGATCAAATTTCAATAATTAGTCAATGATTAATCACAATCAGAATATCACTACGTACAGCGATAACTGTGAGACTTTATTAGTATCAGCATACGTGTGCAGACACAAGCTCCATCAGAAGTCTCTCCAGCTGTTAAAGCTGCTCAGCCATCTTCAGAAACAGACGTCGCTTCACGTGACGCTTTGGAGGAAAGAACGTCTTATTTCTCGTTCCTGTGGGCGGGACTGAAACACAAGGAAATGACGCAATGAAGGACACTTGGGTGCAATTAAGATAACTGAGAAGCATCCTAACCTGCTGACCTGATAATAAAATGATCACAGTATTGATACACGTTCTATTGATTTCTCCTCCAGGTCCTACTGCCCCTTCAACTTCTACTTGTACATCCGCTCCTCCTTTTCCTTCTTCTTCTTCTCCTCCTCCTCCTCCTCCTCCTCCTCCTCCTCCTCCTCCTCCTCCTCCTCCTCCTCTCCTTTCTCCTCCCCAGCTTCCCCCCCTCTTCTCCTCCACTTGGTGCAGCTGTGGGTTCTCTGGTTCTTCTGGTTCTTCTGGTTCTGGTCCTGGTCGGAGTTCTGTTGCTCCGCAGGAATCAAACAGGTATGAAAGCTGTCAGACTCACCTGATGTGAACAGACTGGAACCAGACTGTGTCTGATCCAGTCAGCAGGTCTGTACTGAACTACAACCTGGGACTGGTTGGACTCCTGTCCAATCAGTGACGTCCTCAGGACACCTGGGACCCGTCTGTCACACAGCTCCGTGAGAAATGCTCTCTGATCTCCATTTCCAATAACCTGACTGATCTGTGTTTGTTTCCTGCTGATCCAGATGCTGTCAGATCTGCTCAAAGGAAACACACTGCAGGTACACACACACTGTTCTACACCTGAGCAGTGATGGTGAAGCATGAGTGAAGCAGCTGCTGCTTGATGTCTGAACTGAAACTCTGCTTCATCAACTGGACTTTTAATTTCCACTGGTGTTCAGTTTCAGGATGGAAATGTTCTCCTTACTTTAAACCTTCCTGACTTTGATTCTCTGACAAGTTTCTTTTCTCTACAGAGAGTTTGTTGCTGTTATTTCTGTTACTGCCAACATCACACATTTTAGAGGCGGACAATATAATCTTAACTCAGTGTCCACTTAGAGCTTTTCCAGAGCTTTCAGCCACATCTCATGGTCTTCATCAGCTCATGGCGTTTGCTTGGTAGTTCTGGAGATGCTTCAGGTGTGGTCATGTGAGGTACAGACCCTCAGTCCCATGGTAACAGCTGCTTGTATATGGGGGAGATGTGATGTACCTGTAGGTCACATGATGACACCTGAGCCAACTCCATTTACTGATGAACACCATGAGATGCTGCTGAAAGCTCAGTTAGATATTTTCCACTAACTGTTTATATATTTGAATACAAAGTTAACCTGCTGACCTCTGACCTTTAGTAAACCTTGTTCTCCTGTTGTAGGTCTGGCTGTGCTGACTGCTGCAGGTGAGCTGATGGAAGTCTGTCGGTCTGTCTGTTGACCTCTGACCTTTAGTGACCTCTGACCTTTAGTGACCTCTGTCTACCTGTTGCAGGTGCGGCTGTGTTGCTGAGTGGACTGCTTGTTTCTGCAGGTGAGGTTGTGAAAAGTGAAAGATACAGAAAGAGTCGAACAGCAACAGAGGTTTAACCCTAATAATGATATCAGAATAAGATCAACTGGGACAAAACATTAACTAGAATGGACATTTCCTAAAGAAAATGCATGTGAGAGCTTGTAGCCGTTAGTGCTGTACAGCCTTGGTCAGCAAATAAAGTTCCAGTTTACTGCATGTGGTTAACATGCCCTGAGTAGGATTTGAACCACTGGACTATTAAGATACACCATTAGAAGAAGGTTTTTACTTGCTTAATCTGATTTGGGTTAGTGAGATGAAATGCCTCCAATGCACCAATAGAATGCACTCGATGACCACAAACAGCTTCAACAGCAGTGTTGTGCTTGTAAATATACAAATTTAACACAAATCACTACAAT